AAAAATTATTTACAGAAATGCAAGCAAATGAATGAAATACAACTCATTCTCCAAAGCAATCAGTTCCAACTATAACTTTCCAGAAATGTTGGACTACAACTCTGTAGTGGTTTATTGCAGTTGCAATAATAGAAACTATAGCATAATGTATCTGGATGGCATTAGGTCTAGGGGAAAATGTTCTAGAACAGACATGTCAAACTCGCGATGTCGCGCAACGTATCAGGACGGTTTTGCCATTGCCGGCAATGGGGTGGGCATGGCTTCCGGATGACGCGTCCGGTCCGCAGGCCGGCAGTTTGACACCCCTGCTCTAGAAGAACTTAGTGGTATTACCAATGTAGGAGAAAAAGTTCAACTAAATCCCACTAATTCATTGCAAATCCACCGTAATCCTGGTGTTTAGTATATAGATGGGCAATGAAAATATGGGGTAATATTTGTATATTTCCCATCAAAATATCAGTTACAAAGACTTAAGGGAAAAAATGTCACAAAATTATTTGTTCCAGATTAAAAAAGGGGAAGATACCTAATTATACACATATCAAAATTAAAATATATAGATTTTAATTAAAATGTCAAGATTATAAATTTGATATTGATACTGATTTATATCAATATTACATTTTATGGAATTCAAATATATACTAACAAGCTACATTCCCATAAGAGACTTTTAAAAAAATTAATCAGCAACAGACAAGCACCTGGATCCAACCTTTCTCACAACCCTCATGGGAAAACAAGTCTCAGATGATCTAGTGTGACAGAGTGCCCATGGGACAATCTGTTTAGGACAGGGCCAGAAAAGCTCTATGTTTTACAACCACTGAGCTTCAGTTTTTTAAGAATATATCATCATAATTTTTAGGCTCTGCCATCAAACACTTATTAATATCGCTGATTATGAGATTCGGAAGGGGACTAGAATGGTGCCTTGTCTACCGCCTCTCAGGGTTCAAACTGGGTTTCTCAGAGGTACTCAGCATGTCTGGTAAACACACATGGAAAAGATCAAATTACCAATTTTAACATTTGAAACAGAGTTAACCTTCACATATTCTCATAAATATTCATATGCTTTGTAAAATATTGTAAACCCCCATTCTACTTTTAGTATCTAGTTCTAGCATTCAGATGAGCAAAAACTCATCTATATAAAATCTCATCCAGAAGAAAAACTCCTTGTACAGTACCAAACAACAGAATGTAATTTGTTTAATATGCTGGGAAACCTATCATAGGCTACACAATAAAGAACCACAATTGAAGTTCATATGATGTAAAAAAAGACTGGTTCAGATCTAAAGCCCAAATCTATTACAATTTTCTTCTCCACTGCAGATAAAGCCTATCAACAGGATATAAAACAATAATCCTGAAATATTCTGGGCCCCTTTAAGTATCTAGGTCAAGGGTACCCCAACCCCCAGTCTGTGGACCAGCAACCGGACTGTGCAAACAAGTGAAGCCCCATCCGCGGGATGCAGGCAGCACACAAAACCACGCCCCCTCCGGTCCGCAGAAAAATCTTTCTCCATGGAACTGGTCCCTGGTGCCTAAAAAGTTCGAGGCCACTGATCTAGGTGTCAATGTTCAATCTTCCATTTGCTGAATTAATCAAGTGAGCATCTTAACATAAGACATCAAAAAGCATCCCTTGCAATTATCAAATATGCAAGCCAACTATTTAAAGTTTTGGGGTCGGTCTTATATGGTGCTCACTGTGCATCTATAAGAATACATCTAGATTTGAAAGCAGCCAATTAAATCTCCTAAAATCTACAATACACAGTCCTCATTTGACCCTTAATGGTCTCATGCAAATGGAACTAGACTACCCTTCCTTTGGGGCTCGTTTTGAGACCTTGTTGCCTCAGCTTCTGCTCCAAACAAACTTTTCGGTGAACTCTCTTGATTCACCTTATCTTATTAGGTTTGCCTTGTCTGAATAAAATTATACAAATAAATTACTTGACATACAATACTGGAGGGGGGGGGAGTTCTGTTCCAGCAATATACATTCTTGGCCTTCGTGAAACTTTGGCCCAATTTAAGCAGAGTATCTGGGACAAAGACATCCAACTTGACAGAGACAGAGCTTCCGATTCCTGCTATAGTGCAATTTTCCTCTCTTCTTGGACGACACAACAACATATTGTTGTTGTTGTTATCATTATTGTTGTTGTTATTTCATATGGTTAACAGAATACAGCGTTAGTGCATAAAAATTCACAAAGACAGCATATGTATCTAAGTATAAAACACCGGGGCAGAGAATTATTTTAAAAACACACAGTATGAGTGATGAATAAAATTATGAAAAAAATTAAATTATGTATGAGCAATTACTGAAGTGACTAAACCTATGGCCAGATATGTAGATTGTTTAGCCATTGGACATTGGGGTGCAATGTAGATAACCTCCTCGTGGTGCATCCTGGGAAATGTGACTTTGTCATGGCTAAATAGTCTACACACTCCAGCTACTGAACCTCACAAGGGTTTCCCAGCAAGAAGCAGCAGCAGCATGAATACTGAAAACAAAGTACATTTTATTCACCCCACAAAACAAGACTTTTCTCCCTAGTGCAAACTGATATGCTTCTCATTAAAGTGACATCAGGCAGATACACTGGTACCATTACAAAAATCACACTTGTGATTACTCTGATGGAAAAGATTGAAATTATTAAATTCTTGCCACTGTGGATTCAGTAATGAACAGATCTCATATTGCCCATTGTCAGAAAACGTTAATAGTTCATAAGTGACTCTCCTCTTTGGTGATCAATTTTCAGATGCCCCTAAGAAGGTCACACAAATTTCCATCCTATCTCCTATTTTTCTTGATATCTCTATGAAACTATTGGGAAAGATCATTTGCAGATTTGATGCTACTTGCTCTCATTTTGCTGATGATACTCCATAGTACTTATTTCCAAACAGCTGAGAATTTTATCTCTCAAGAGCCTCAACATACTTCAAGAATTGGATGTTAGAGAACATCTGAAGCTGGATATAGGCAAGCAGGCTGCTAACTCTACAGACTGGACCACAGGGTTGGGATGATATTGCTATTCCGAATGGGATCACATTCCTTCCTTAAAAGAAAATGGAGGCGAGGGAGCAATCCTCCGTGATCCAGCATATGTACTAGATAACCATATAACAGTGGCAAAAAAGGTCTTTTCTCAGCTTCAGCTGATTAACAAATTATGTCCTCCTGGAAGAGGCCTAGTTTCACATAGATAGGGACTAGTAATTTCAAGGCTGGATTAACACAGCGCAACCCTTGAAAACAGACCATAAATTGCAGTATGTGACAGCATTTGTAGTAAATGGTACTCCAGGAAGTGCCTTAAAACCCCATATTGAAACATTTACATAGGTTGCCAGTTATCTCCCAAGTCTAATTCAAGTTGCTAAATTGGTGTAACTTAGGTCCAAAATACATGCATGACTTCCCAATCCTCTACTGACTGCCCCATATTCTAAGATCCTGAATGGGACCATGGATACATTTTACGTGGAGGAAATTCTATTTTTTTTTAACATGGGAACAGTACTGCAGAAAAGATTCCCAATGAACCTGAAGGTGGCCCCATTAGAGTTTAGAAGGGAACTTAAACCCAAGCATTTTAACTAGGTCCTTTACAGAGTTTTAGAGTGTTTAATATAGTTTTAATGCTGTTTTCAAATTTCAGAATCTTTAAAATTGTAAGCCACTCATAGTTTTTGGAATAGTTGGTAAGGGTGTTATTTTTATGTTTTCAAATAAATTGTAATGAAACAAGATGATAATGATGATGACGATGACAACAATGAATAGTGGTTAAGGCACCAGATTAGAAAGCGGGATACCGTGTCTTCTAGTCCCGCCTTAGGCATGAAAGCCAGGTGGGTGACTTTAGGTAGTCATTCTCTGCCCAACCCACCTCACAAGGTTGTTGTTGTAGGGAAAAAAGGAGAAGGAAAGAATATTAGGTATGTGCGCTGCCTTGAGTTATTTATAAACAAAAAATACAGGTGAGATAAAAATCACTTTTATTTATTTATTACATTTATTTGCTGCCTATCTCCTGTTGAAACTCTAATAAAATTTTTAAAAAGAAATAAAATATTGCCACTGTCTAAGATATCTGTACTTTCTTTCAATATCTCTTTATTGGAAACTACATCATACTAGATACATTGATAAAGAAAATATACTGAATATATTTAAGAAATTCATTAAAAATGTTAAAAGTACAAATACAGTTGGATTGGCTTCTACTTTCAGGATACCCCTCAGTAGTTTGGCCAGTAGTACCATTTATACGTATCTTTACAAGTAAAAAATAATAAATATCTAGTTTTCCCCTCAAATTTTGTACATTTCATCTAGGTGATACGTTGCAGATCGTTATTCTGATTATTTTCATTATTGAATGTCATCTTTATACAATACTAGTTGCTTAGCAACATTTCTCCCTCCTTATTGAGAGATTGCCTTTCATAAGGCATTCTTAACATTTAAGAGCCATCACAATAAAACATCACCTAAAAGATCAATGTTACATATAATTCCTCAATCTTTCAGCCTTTCCAGACTGGGGGGGGAAGGGGAGAGGGCATGGTTCTGCGCAAACGTGTGCACAGCTCTATTTGTGCGAGTGGCGTACGCGCATGTCACTCACACAAATAGAGTTCATGTGCACACGTTCCCCGCTGCTTGCACAAGTGGGGATGCCCATGTTCATACTCACCTGCTGTTTCCACGGCCCAGTTGCAAACAGCTCACGGCTCACTAGAGGGCTATCTCCTGGAAGTTGGGGACCTCTGGTTTAACCGATCTGGTAGGCATCAGGTTTTGAGACATGGTAGGAGCAGCTGCTAAGGCAATACTCAAGACCCAATTCCAGTATTTTTTTTTCTGTAGATTTCTATGCTACCACCACTTCTTTGGATTATATTCAGTCTAGCAAAATTACATGCAAAAATTTAGTAGCTCATACCCTCCTCTGTTGTGATGCTCATCATGCTTTATTATCTTATACGGCAGCATTCTTTCTCCCAAGTTTTCCAAATTCCTCACCACTGCTCCCCTTTCCAGCAAAGCTTCCACTGTGCGTCTCAGTGTTGCAGCTGTCTCTGGCTTTAAACAGAAGAAAAAACATACATTTACAGTGTAGTCAAGGATCATATATCTTACTTTATTTAATGAAACAGAATTGGGGGAAATGAAAAAATAATGAAAATAGAGAAAATGCAGTGTGTGTTGTGTAAGACATTTTTTGATAAAATGGTTTCAGTAAAACTTACCCATATTGTTATTGTAATAGTTCATGCATAATTGACATTCAATTGACTCATTCAAAAGGCACAAGTAACAAATCTTCAATTTAGTGGATAATTGGGGCCATAAATTTGTCTTTCCAATGTTGAAGAACTAATCTCTTGGCAATAATTAGGGCAAAAAGAGCTCACTCACATTGTTCAACTGTCAATGTTCATGTATTGTAGAAGGTAGATATTTCAAAATAATATGTATAAAGTCAATGGCAATTACTTTTAACTGGCTGGACTAAAAAGGAAGGGGAGAAAAGACAGACGTTAAAGCAAGGGGAAGTCCCAAAAGTTTGATTACTCTCTTAGCCATTTGCAAGAATGTATTTTCAGATTATAGACCAGTGGTGGCGAACCTATGGCATGGGTGCCAGAGGCGGCACTCAGAGCCCTCTCTGTGGGCACGCACGCCGTCGCCCCAGTCCTAGGCCTTCAGCTGGGTTTTATAAAACCTTTTTGCTTTAGGCCTCTGCTGCTGTGTGCAAAAAAAAAAGGTTCCATCAATCAGTCAATTTCAACTTCTTGCGGGGAAAAAAAATCTTGCAGAAGTTGGAATTGATTGATTAAACTTTTTAGTCCCACCCAGTCTGCCGTTACCACCACAGCCACACCCACCCAATGGGCCACGCCCACCCAATGGGCCACACCCACCCAATGGCCACACCCACCCGGCACCTAACGATGCATAAGTGGGTTTTCGGTTGCAGTTTGGGCACTCAGTCTCTAAAAGGTTCGCCATCACTGTTATAGACACATTAATAGCAGTCCCACAAGGAATTTCTCAAAAAAAATTTTTTTGCAATTTAATGGGATTTTAGAGAAAATGTGAATGTAGTCTGTATTCCCAAATCTAACACTTCATATACACAAGTGTAACACTCCATGGTACAAAAAACTGAAAACAAGTTATTCTTAGGTCCACTTTAGTATAGTTAAGAAAATTCAATATTTCAGATCATGGTTGTCCAACCTTTTGGCTTGCCTGGGCTTCATTAAGTGAAGAGGAATTGTCTTGAGCCACATATAAAATATATATAATATGGTTGTCCAACCGTAATCACTTAATAATATTAAAGATTATTATTTTGTGAGGCTGCATTAGCTATCCAAGGCTGCATATGGCTCATGGGTTAGATATGTCTGTTTTATAGACTGATGTGGAGAAGGAAACAGATATTTAAATAAGACTCTAAAACAGGGTTGTCAAACTGCCGGTCCACGGGCCAGTTGCATCATACGAGGGCCGTGCCCACCCCAGCAATGCAAAAAAAGTCACGATACATTGTGACATGGCACGTGACGCGGCGAGTTTGATACTTCTGCTCTAAAGAAACAAGGATATATTTTATCAACATTACTGCATATAGCATCTCCATTCAACTTCATATAGGTACGGTATGTGTTACTTTAGGTTTTTAAACTGAAACATTTAACAGAATCTTGCTGGATCAGACCAAAGATAATCTAGTATAAGATTGAGATGTTTCAAGATAGTAATAGCAATCTGCTCCCCAGTATTTCCACTATATCTATTGCTCTCTGAACCAGAAATTACATGTTGCTTATAGCTAATCACTAAACTTCGGCCCCTGATTTTACCCAATTTTCCAAAATAATGCAAGCTAGAAACTATCATATCTTCAACCCACCACCTATCAGTCTCACTGTCAATCCCCAGAGCTATAGTATAATGAAAGATGGAAACATGATTTCTATCCATTTCATTACAGCATGCATTATTTTCTAATCATTGGTTATCTCTCCCCTCGGCAACATTACAGATAGTCCTTGACTTACGATCACAATTTTTCTGTTGCTAAGTGAGATAATTGTTAAATGAGTTTTGCCCCATTTTACAACTTTTCTTGCCACAATTGCTAAGAGAATCACCGCAGTTAAGTTGATAACATGGGTTTATTAAGTGAATCTGGCTTCCCCATTGACTTTGCTTCTCAGAAGATTGCAAAAGGTGATCAGATGATCCCTGGACACTACAACCATCATAAATATGAACTAGTTACCACCTGACTGAATTTTGATCATGTGACCATGGGGATGCTGCAACGGTCATGTGAAAAATAGTCATAAGTCACATTTTTCAGTGCTGTTTAACTTTAAATGGTCACTAAACAAATAGTTGTAAGTTGAGGACTACCTGTATTTATAACAATAAACTATCTAAATATTTTCTTCTGACCTTTTTTTTTTAAACTAAAGGTACAACTAACTGCACCTGTAAATTTCACCCATCTTTCCCACCTCTACAATATCCTTTTTGGATAAACCAGCCAGGACTGTAAACAGTATTTAAAACAGAGAACTACTACCAGCACTCCTGTTTCAACTCCTTCATGATTCATAAGGAATTTGCCCTTTGCACCCGAGTTGTAATTTTCATTAAATTATCCAACATGATCAAGTTGTTTCATAATTAGTCAAACGCTAGTTTAAAACCCACCAGTGTTTATGTATTGTTAGAGTAAGCAAATTATGGCCCCGCAGCTCCCATTTCTATGCTCATAGAAATGGGAGCTGCGGGGCCATAATTTGCTTACTCTGACAGTACAGGAACCACTCTAACTGGAAAAAAAAAGCAAGATCAGCAGATTGGTTGCCCACCATTTAGAAAAAAATTAGTAGGAATTCTGTGCTTACTCTCTTCTTTACTTATTCTTATCTACTGTCCTTAATTTCTCAGAGGTTTGTAATAGCATGGACCATAGCATCTCATTGACAACTAAAGAAACTGGGTTGCAGTGTTTGTATTCCTGCCTGCAGAACCATTCCCCAAATAGGATTGGAGGGCTTCTGTTCAATACCATGGCAATCATGCAGGGAATTCCATTGCTTTTGGTCTGATCTTCCATGGTGCTGAAGCCTGTATGAAGCCATTGGGAAAGGCTGTCCAGAGTTTTGGAATGAGATTTACAAATGCCTCTTAATTTTGTCTTTTTCATCTGATCCAAATCAACAGAAGAATGCTTGTGGGCTGCGAAGGACCAGATGAAGGCCAGCTGCCTGAAGATGAATCACAGAAAGATGAACATTAGCCTGGAAGTTCATCATCTCTGAGCAGTTCTCCTATCCAGAAACTGTCCTTAACCTAGTATTACATGGAGTGACACTTGCCCTATAGAGCGAAGTACAGGATATATGGCTTCTCTTGGATACCAAATGATCACTGAACACACCTATGGCCTCAGTAGGGAGAGCCTATGCACAGCTTCAGATAGTGAGTCCAATATAGCAATTTATGGATGAAAAAGCCTGACCTTGGCAGTACATGCCCTGGTAATCAAAACTGAATTATTCCATATAATTCTGCCATTGAAGACCATCTGGAGATCACAGGTGGTGCAGGAAACTGTCTAGGGTAGTATACGGTCTCAGAAAATGACCATGTTATCCGTACTTTTCAGGTGCTATCCTGGCTGCAGATAATATATTGGATTTAATTTAAAGTCAGGTACTTACCAGTAAACATCCAATGCATCCGAGACCAGTTTTCTTGTTTTGCATTTCAGAAAACAATAAAACACAAACACACAGAATTGAAGCAGACAAGTGATTCCATTAAAATATTGGTTCACTAAGCTATCCAGAATTATTTTCTGTTAATTCTCAATCCCTAAAAATATAAACAGGTGCTGGAAATTTCAGTTTCAGCTCTCCAGGGACATCACCACCAAGGAAAGTAGCCTATCCTATTTAAAAAGCTAAACTCAATTCCACAGATTAGAATATCATTTTTCTCATCGCTGGAATGGCTTCTGACTCACTCAGAGCAGGCTGGTCTCCATAACTTCTCCAACTGATTCTATGATCTCTGATAATAAGGCATAGTGTTTTCCACATGCTTCTATTCCCCAACTGTTATTAGAAAAGCGGTTTGTCTTCTTTAAATCTTCACAACAAAATGTACATAGGGACTACAGTACATACATTTTGTTGTGAACTACATTTAAAAAGACTCAATAACCTGAAAGTAGGAGTGTTCATTCAAGCTACTAATTAAGTAAGAAGCAACCAATCTTTTAAAGGTGAAGTATGCGGGTTTTTAGATTTTGCCAATTCTCAGCAACCCAAACCAACATCGTCCTACAAGGCAGATACTGGAAGTGACTCACTGGTTTCTGACTTCTGTGAGTTAGAAAACCTTTTCTAAATCAATTAGAGAATTTATTTTCCATATTTGGATTTGCCCCAATTGTGTTTCTCACTTGGTCTAGGAATTCTACATGTTTTTTTAAGATATTCTCTTTTAAGGTTTTTTTTAAGATATTCTCTTTTAAGGTTCCAGATCTCCAAATGGCTGCATGGCGGATCGACTGGATATAGCTCCGTAGGGAAAGCGGAGCCGGCAGCGGGAATGGGGGAGCCTCGGAGGGTCGAAGGCTTAGCCTGGACCCTGATTTAGGGTGCTGGGTCCTCCGGCGGCCGGGAGGAACAACTTACCGGTCACCCCTGGTCTTCCTGAGCCCCCCGAATTCGGCTGAGCTCCCCGGTCTCCTAGGTCCCAGCCTGAGTTAAGGGTGCGGCCTGGTAGCCCGGCGGTGGGGCTCGGCCTGGCTTCGATTCTTGGCCGGAGGAGGAAGACCTGACGGCCCGGCCGCGGCCTGGGCGGCGAGAGACG